TTGGTAGATGAGTCTCTAAGGGTTCACATCCTGGACTATGTCCCAGTGGCTGTGACCTGGTTATAGCTCTACCTACAACTTCATGACTCTGAATTCCTTTATTCGTGACCTTACTTTCTATTTCCTTCCTTATATTCCATAATAAATTGATCTCCTTGTTTCTGATCATAGCCTAGTAGCCTGACCATGAACTGTGTCCCAACTTTCACCAATCCCACCAGAACAACTCTGTTAGAAGGACATAAGCCCTATCCCCTAACACAATACAAAGTAGGACTTGGTTGTTGTTGGTTTTTTTTTTTAATATTATTTTTAACTGACATTCACAAATCATTTTATGTGATTATAAGGGAAAATAAAATTGAAGATATTAATTATTAAACAAAGCATTTGTTAGAATGAATTCTAAAAATAAGTGGCCCCATCAGAGAAAGGTATAAGGAAATGGATTTGAATATCTTTTATTTAAATGCCTTGGAAGGCTTCTAAAATGTGTCTTGAGACAGACAATGAATAAACAGATTAGTACCCTTTTTTTTTTCAAAAGGGCATCTGGAAAGAAATAGGCCAACATGAATTGTCTGAAGTGGAGATTTAGAAGTCAATATTGTCTCATGAGCAAGTCCAAAGCTTCCATCCCTAGTACAGATACCATAGTTCCTGAGGGCCCAATAAGTAAAACCCACTCACTTCTGCCTCCTAGAGCAGAAAGGCTGACCAAAAGATCCATGACAAAAAAATCTGCAAATTTGTATATACTGTTATTTCCCAGATCTCTGAATAGACAGGGTTAGCTGATGAAAGTACCACCTGCAGATGTCTAAATCTATTCTCCCTACAGGTCTGTCTACAGTATTTTCAAGACATCTTATGAGTATTTTCTATCCATTAAGCTTCTAAGACAATGAATTGGAGGTTGGGGGCTGGTGAGACAAAGGCATGAGGAAATCTTTCTGGCTCCCATGCTTTAAAAAGAGGACCTCTTCTCAATCTATCTGGTATTGTTTAGGTACAGTACTAGTTAAAGTAAAGGGACTGGGCCTTGTTGGCATCTAAAGGTTCCATCCTGTTATATGACCTCAACAACAGAATTCAGCCATTATTACAATAGTTGTTATTGTCTAGTTGTTGGCTATGTTATTTAATGAAGTTCTGATCAAAATGGATTTCATTTGTAGAATATTTTTGTTCTTTGATCAGAGATATAGAGGTGGAAGGGGTCCACAGATGGCATTGCTCTAGTTTTGTCATTATACACATGAACAAACTGAGTCCAAGAGAAAACATCTAGGCCAAGATCACAGAAGTAATAAGTGAGTCAGGATTTGAACCCAGGTCTTTTGACTCAAAGTTCAGGGCTCTTCCTGCTTCACCATGTTGCCCTTGGTGGGCATGATCACAACATCCTAAATGTATACAATATACTAAAAAGACTTGCTATTAGAATTTTTTTGATATTAGATTTCCATAGGAATATTTCAAAGTCTTATATTTTAGTTTTACTAATTTTACTAATTAACAAAACTAATTTTAAAAATGTTGACTATGATCAACCAGTTTTGATTGAAACAAAAAACGGAGTGCCTAAAATATTCTTAACAGGTAGGCCACTGTTGGTAGAAATGAAGGAACAGCTGGTAGGCCCTAAGTCTACTCAAAGTGGTCCCTAGACCATGTGGACCTCTCGGTACTCAGGCAAGCACAAAGCCAGAATCTTTTGTTTCCAGGATGGTTTAGTTCCAGATTTACAGCAGTGACAATAGCTCAGACACAGGGCACACTGTGCATGCAGTTCTAAGATTAGAAATAATAGTTACATTTGGCAGTTCATTATTTTCCTGCAAATCAATTTTAAAATCCCAAATAAAACACTCCTTGGAGTATTTCAGTCTGCCATTGCTCACCACATTGGGTTTAATTTACTGCTCAGGAAATGTGCCCATCAGTCCATCTTTAATTGTAGTAATTTTCCCCTTAATGTGGTAAAATAGCACCTCAATTAACCAGAACTCAGTAGGGAGTGCAGAATTCTATGTATTTTTTTTCTATTTCAGCAGATATTTCAGTAGATTCAGTGAAAATGTTTATAAAAGAACTTAGTCTGCTTTCCTTCCTCAGTAAATTCAATCTATTGATCATAATGAACTACTTCTATGGTGACTGAAAAATCTTTCAAGGCCTCGGAAGAGTCATTCTGACCACCCACAAGCATTGTCTAGGGCTGTATGTAAAGAAGGTGCAGAATAGGTTACAAGTGCTATGCTTTGGGGGCATCATTCAGGAAGAACCTCCTCCCTCTTTTAGAAAATAAATCAATATCCCCAGTATGTGTTATCGCTTATCAAAGACGTTGTCAGAACCATGGACAGGGAATGCAATTGGTTTAGCACTGTGGTGTAGGAAAGCTATGTAACTACCATAGCTGAGCTGTTTGGGACTTTTGTTGTGGCAATGTGTAGAAACAGCATGTTTCATAAGGTATTTAAGGAGGGAGAAATTTTACTAGAAGTTGGTATATTTAAACAGGCTGGCTAACAGTTGTGACTTTAGGTGGTCTAGATTTTTTAGACTAAAAATAAGACCCAAGAGAGCATTGTTTGGGTTTCCTGAAGAAATTCCTTTAATGAAGTTAAATCTCTCCATCTATATCCTATATAATAAATGGTATGAAAGCAGTTGATAATGGGTTTGTGTAGCTGAATCCCCTTCCCCAAGTACCAGTTGTCTTATGGAACCTTGTGATATTTTTTCCCCAGATTCAGGGCTTCATATTTCCAGGAAGGACTGAGTCTATGACAAGAATGTCTTTCTGAGATACTTCTGATTGCATTTATGATCCTGTTCTTACTCTAATTAAGTCCAAAAGTAAAAAAAAAAAGTAATAATTATATGAGTTTCTTGATTTTAGGGACTGCTTAATTTTTATCTTTGTACTCCTCTTCCCAAAAGAATTTTACACTGTAGATGCTTCATAAAACTTTGTTAAATTGATTTAAGACCACTTCCCCATCAAGAGAAGACTGTATTTAGGGATAAGAAGAAAGGAAACCAGCACTAATCAATCATCTACTATGTGCTAGGCACATAGCACACTATGTGTGTTGAGAGCTTTATAAAAATATAATTTGATCCTCACAACTCTGGGAGTTAGATGTTATTATATTTCCCAATTTATGATTGAGGAAACTGAGGTAGATGGAGATTAAGATTCAGGTAACCTAGGGTTAATCTTAACTATGACAATTACTATATAACATCAGAAAGTCATAATCTTTTTTGAGCTAAGGTCTTATCAACTCAAATAAGTGACGAATAACACTAACACAGGGGTGTAGCAAGGAAGTTGTTTAAGTAGATATGTAAACATGAGTTAATGCTATTAGCTATGATAGGCATCTGACTATTGTTGTTGTTGTTCAGTCATTTTCATTAGTCATTTCATTCATCCAACTCTTCGTGACTACATTTAAGGTTTTCTTGGCAAAGATACTAGAGTGGTTTGTCATTATCTTCTCCAGCTTATTTTACAGATGAAAAGTCAGACATTTTACAGATGAGACAATCAGGGTTAAGTGACTTGCCTAGGGTCACACAGCTAGTAAGCGTCTGAGGCCAAATATGAACTGAGATCTTCCTAACTCCAGGCCAGGCACTCCATGCACTGAGCCACCTAGATGCCCAGACTGTAGTGGATAGAAAAATGGATTCAGAGTCAAGAATACTAGATTTCAAAACCTGCCTCAGATACTTGCTAACTATATGACCCTGACAAGTAATTTAACCTTTCTCAGACTGGGTTTCCTCACCTTTAAAAAGGAGGATGACAATAATAGAATCCACTTCACAGGGTTGTTGTGAGAATCAAGCAGACAATAAATTTAAAGCTTTTTATTTTGAAAATTCTAAATCTTTATATAACTGTTAGTTATTGTATTTTCTTTTAACAAACAAGCAAACAAAAGGCAAGGAAAATAAAATGACTTCTCCAAAGACATAGTTTATAATCAGTAAAGCACAGATTCCAAGCCAGCACATGTGACTCCAGCTAGAAGTCACTTTCCATTATACCAGAAATTCATTCTTTTAAATTAAAATGCTGTAAACCTGTTAAAATGCAAATATCCTAGGACAGTTGACATTAAAACATTAGCAGTGAATACCATTTTAATAGGAATTAGCTCATAGGATACTTTTTTTTAACAGGACTGTAACAATGGGCTAATTGTCACCACGCAGTATGACATCATAGGGTGAGAGCTGTCCTCATACTTGGAAAACTTGGATTCAAGTCCTTCTGACATACACTGGCTGTGTGACCCTAGGCACGCCACTTAACTTCTTAGTGCCCTCAGGAAGTTTTCTAAGATTATAGGTTGCTAAGCATTTGCCAATCAGCATTGTTGGAGGGAATTTCTTCACCGGGAGTTCCCCAAACCAATCATGTCTTTTCC